TTGTATGTTTCTACTTTGCTGACTGGTCGGTTAATTTGGGTTTGTAGAATGCTCTGGCAGCATTAAAGCTTACACAAAATCCCAGAGACTGCTAACTTTCAAAAACTATTTAGGCTTCAAAATGTTGAGTTCTTTGAAAGTGGAGAGCTGAAATTCCACAGACACAATCTTGGCACAGACATTAGGACAGTATCCACCAGTGCTCTTCGGTAATTACCTTGTGTTGAAACATTTGGAATCGTGGCCAGTTGGAGGTGAGTTTGAATATGATGCTTTCCAACCTTGGAATGCCACACAGAAATTTACAGCCAATTTTTTTTTTTTATGAAGGCCAATCAGTTCCAAAGAAGGATGTTTAGTAATTTGCGCCCAGTAACTCCCACAAACAGCAATATTATATGTTTGGAGCTCTAGATAATAAATATTGGCATGGTACTGGGGTGAGGTCCTCAACTCTCCTTTGTAAAGATTCCATGGAATCTTTTCTGGCCCTGTGAAAAGAAAGATGGGACTCCAGTTTAATGTGTCAACTGGAAAGAGAGCCCGTTCGACTATGTAGCAGATTGGAATGTTGCTTTACATTTAGAGTTCATGTCTGTAGTATGGGACTTGAACCCAGAATTTCTAGTTCAGAGGTGAGAGTTACCAACTTAGTCACAATTGACTTGGGAATGGGAGACCTATTAGGAGTACATTAAAGGTATCAAGTCTGGATGTAACAAAGACATAGATGAAGGTTTCAGGAAAGACTTTTAAAAATTTGCACATGGATGCGGGCAAAGCAGGCTGGATGATATTTATTGTCTATCCCTAGTTACCCTTGAGAAGGTTTTGGTAAGCTGCCACCATGAACCCCTGCAGGCCATTTAGTGTAGGTATACCCACAATGCTGTTTGGAAAGGTATTCCAGGATCTTGACCCAATGACACTGAAGGAATGATACGTTTCCAAGTCAGTTAGCAGTTATACTGAAAGAAAGAATATTGATGTGTGTAGTCGGTATTGTAAGTTGGAAGTGGTATATACTCATCAAAGTGGACACTAGCAACAGAATTTTGTCCTCGGGAGATGATGGGGAGGTGAAATAGTTCAGTGTGTTGCCCTTCTTGCCATCCCACTGATTAGGTTTTGCGCAAGAAAATCCATTGATGGATTTCTTAAACTGCCACCAATTATGGCCCTTAAGTGGTCAATTAGCAACTATTTAAGGGGCTTAACAAGCCATATGCCTGATTATGCACCTTCCCAGCAGTTAAGGAAGGTGGCTGATTTCCTAGCTGTGTAACCAGGTAAACCTGACTGCCATGTTTGGGTTTTTTTTTTTCACTCACAGGATGGGGACGTCACTGGCTAGGCCAGCATTTATTGCCCATCCCTAATTGCTCAGAGGACAGTTAAGAGTCAACCACACTGCTCTGGGTCTGGAGTCACATATAGGCCAGACGAGTAAGCATTGCAGATTTCCTTCCCTAAAGGACATTAGTGAACCAGATGAATTTGTCCGACAATCGGCATCAGTTTCATAGTCATAATTAGATTCTTAATTACAGATTTTTCATTGAATCCAAATCTGCCATGGCAGGATTCGAGCCCAAATACCTGATCATTTTTGGGGTCTCTGGATTAATAATCCTGTGACAATTCCACTGGGTCATTGCTTCCCCAGTTGACTCCAATTGATGCCTCAATTGCCTCGATCTGGGGTAATCAGAAGAACGGATGGGGTTAAGGGTGTGGCCTCTGAAAGTTACCCCTCTTTCCTTGCCCTGACAGCCCCAATCCATTAACTCACATACCCATAAAAAGACAAGCAAACACTTTTCACTATTGGATCCCCAGGGAAGTAGATCTCAGCTAACAGTCTTCACAGCCCAGAAGCTGCTGGCCTTCGAAACCCGCAATAGGCCAGGAGGCTCGGTCATTCAGCTGAGAACATGTAGATTGGAGTGCGATAGGTTGAGTTTCCTTGGCAGTAGAAGTGGCCTGTGAGTTGACACTTAACACACTTACCCAAAAATAGTCATAAAAGAAGAAAATTGTGGACTTTAATTCTGATTTCCCTACCTACTTGTGGAGAAATTCATGATCTCCGAATATTTTCACAATGGATTTGACCAAGATTTGTCATGTAGGAAATCATGGACTAAATTCGCCATCTTATCAGTTCTTTCTGCAGCATTATTCATAAAGAAATTCCAGTGACTCAATAATATCTATGTGAATCGGAGACGATATATTATTCTAATTTATTATGGCATATGAGACCAGTAAGTTATTTCTGCTGTAATGCGTGTTTTGTTAACATAAATTGGCTGTAACATGATTGATGAACAGTGGATGCTGTTTGGATAACGTGAACTTTCTGCTGGACATATAGTGATTTTCTGCAGCAATTTCCCTATAATGCGATTTTCTATAGCGCGATATTCTATAACGTGAGGTTGCACAAGAACACAACTATTGTGTTGTAAGAGAACTACCTGTGATAATGTTTAGAATAACCATTTATCTTAAGCAGAGTAATTGTGAAAGATCAGTTTTAAAAAGTGCAAAAAAGTTAATAAAAAGCTTTCCTCAGGCAAAGCGGAATGCATTTTTCTAGACGGCATAGAAGTGCTGACCTGAACAACATTAGGTGCTGGAGAAGCTCAGCAGATCTGGCAGCATCTGTGAAGAGCGAAACACAGTTAATGTTTGAATCAGAGATGTTGCCTGAGCTGCTGAGTTTCTCCAGCACTTTGTTTTCATTTCACGTATCAAACATCCGTCATTTTTTTTATTTCAGTAGCCATTCTGATACTTGTTCAAAGTCTCAAACATGTTGTAACATCTCAAGCCACATATTTCAGGAACTACTTTCAGGATATTGAGAACTTATTTGTTATTAAAAACAAATGTGATGTTTTGATCTCGGTGGTTGACGCAGTTTGCACCACAGCAGATAGGTCGGGTTTCGTTTCAGGGTGAGAATTTTAAATTCTTAAATAGTTGCAAAATTCAGATCATCATTCCAAGCCAGTCTGAAGACGTGATGAAGCAATGCCTTGGGCCAGAACAGGAATGTTTAATATGTTTTCTGCACTTAAATAATGGTCTAGTTTGCAGATGCGTTGGACAGTGGTAGAAATGAAAATAGTAAGGTCACTTGATTTTCAACTATGTACATTTTTTGGAGGTTTAGTATTGTGGAGGCCGAAATGGTTTAAGTGACCTTTTCTTGTCATTCTGTTATGGTGTTTTAAAGGTTAGCTATCGATTTCAACTGTGATGTAGTTGGATTTACTAGTGTCGTTACTCACACTGAATTCCAAATCCAAACTAATCATGTTTTATCTTTTAAAAATTTTAACATAAAGTGTACAAGACATGCTATCCTGTCCCTTCAAAATCATCTTGCAAATAATTATCAAATGGCATACCAAAGTCTTGCAATCACCTCCCTATTGCTGTAAAACATGCGAGTCAATTAACAATCCATCCAGTGGTGATCTCAACAAAGTTCACTCAATTATGCTGGAAATAAATATCGGTAGCTCCTGCAATCATGGTCCACACTACAATCAGCTGGGAGAATTAAAATGGTCTTTTCTAATTCTGATTTTTCCTTGTATAAACTGTAATTGCATTTATAAAAATTGCATCTGAGAACACAGGGTGCCTGTACATACATGATGGCCTAAAGGGCCTCCTTATGGAATCAAACAGTATGGAAGCAGGCTGTTCAGCCCATTAAGTCCATACCAACCCTCCAAACAGCATCTCACCCAGACCCAGCCCCCTATCCTATCCCTTTAAATCGCATGGCTTTTCATCTAGCCTGCACATCCCTGGACACTGTGGGTAATTTAGCATGGCCAATCCACCTAACTGTAGGAGGAAACCGGAGCACCCCAGGAAAACCCCCACAGGCACGGTGAGAATGTGCAAACTCCAAATCGACAGTCACCCAAGGGTGGAAATGAACCTGGGGCCCTGGTTCTGTGAGGCAGCAGTGCTGACCACAGAGCCACTGTGCTCTCCATGCATTCTGTCATATACCATTATAATTCTGAGTTTGCACGGTGTAGATATTGGGAATAAATACAGTATTCTTTCAAGAATCCAAAATGCCCGAAATTGAACAAAGAAGTTTTCTTCTTTAGGAAAATCTACTTCTGGATACAGATGCTGTCATATTAATGACAGTCTGTCAGGATTTGATTAATGTGGTGGGGTTTGTTTATTTAGCACAGTATAACATGTTATAAATTATGAAACAGATATTATACCAAACCAACCAATTTCTGTTTGCTATTTGCAGACTAACAGCCAGGTAGGATTGCAACATTGTAAACACACAGCACATGAAGGTCTTAAAGGCAGGATACACATACAACTAATTTCACTATTATCATTTATATTTCTATTTTCTCTTGAAAAT